AAACGATGTCACCCGATGCGGCACTGAATTGCTCATTGCAGCAACGCCAACGGGCCCGTGAAGAGTGTTTGCCGAGGGAATGGCATGATTGAGTGGAATATTCTCGTCGAATCGGGAGAAAAAAGAAAAAAAAAGGACACCAAATAGTCCTCTGTAGTACCGCCAGTGACCGGCCATGCCGTCAAACTGTGCTTTTTCATCGACACCGCCGCGTCGACTATCGAATCGAGGAATCGATAACTGTCTATCTCAATAATGGTATTGATCGATCGGAGTGATTCGATATCGATTTTACAATCGATTCTCGAGCTGAATTTGAGACTTGGAGTGGAGCTTGGCACGGAAGCGTTGCCCTCTCCACTCGCCCGAACCGAGGGTTTAGGTGAGGAATCTGCAAATATTGACACGGAATTTTCTAATGAGGACGGGGAAAGAAGAAGAAAAGAGCACGAGAGAACCGGCTCATTGGAGTTTTTACTCTACTTTCCCGTGCAATCGCGAGTGAATTTTATCGATTTCGATAGGTCCGCGCGGTTGTCGATACGATTTCGTACTTTATTTATTCATTTCAGACGAAGGCACGGGACTCTATCGCTGTGTTGCAAAATTCGTTCAATCAAATTTTCTAGGACAGTGTGACACCGCTATTTCTTCCTGAATTTGTTCCTGCTTTTTGTGTGTAAACGAGAGGAAAGTGGTGACTTTTTCAGTTAGAAACACTCAAGTTGTGAAAATATACAATTTACGAGAGGAAATTTTGAGGAGAAGTTTATGGAATATTAGGTATTTTCAGTTTGTCAAAAAACATTTCGGGCATATTTTTACAGTGAGCGGCTTAACTTCAAAGAATCTCCTGCAATTTTCTTTCGAATGATTCTTCACCGAAAAAGAAGGAAAGTTGAATTAACACTCTGGATGTAAAAAAGTGTGCGAGAACTTATAAATGCTGAATTACCTGCCACAGCACTTAATTTTACATCTTGGCATTGCTAAAGTAACAGCTGTGGCAGGTATTTTAGCATTTTGTAAGTTCTCGCACATTTTTTTTACATCCAGAATGTTAAATTAACTTTACCTTTTTTTCGGTGATTTTTTTTCTTTTTTCTTCATCAGTAGGTATGGGTTTAACTAGAATCAGTCAGATATTGTCTCATATTCTCTCATTTGTTATTTTTTCATGGAATATTGAGCAACATTCTAACCTAAAAATTATCGAGTTTATTTATCACACCGAGTTATACCGAGTTTATATCACACCGTGAATTCAAAATCGATTCTGCGAGAGGAATGGTTATCTGTATCAGTATTTAGTAACGTCTACCTTTCTTTTGGCAGAATTTACTCTCAATCGACGCTGTGTGAAATACAGCTTGACGGAATGGTAAATTCTACCAATCTTTTTTCTCGGTGTATAGTCTCTTTTGGCTGAAATACAACCAAATTGTCAAGGCTAATCCATACATTTAGCGAGAAAAGCAGGGGAATTTGCAAGCCCTCGGCAACAATGTTGGATACTTCCCATTTTTCTGACTCGTGCACCCTTATCCGTAATTGTTTCTAGGTTCCGTTCCATTATTTTCACGCTTCAATAACGCTTATTTCTGCGAATCCTGCAAAAATTTAAGCAAGCTAGCTCGCCATTACAGTCGTTGACCGAGTTTTCGTTTCTTTTGGAAGTTCCTCAGAAGTTTTCCCAGGAAATCTCTTTGATCGAACATCGACATTTGTCCATTTAATTTCGAAACTGCAAACGCGCATTTCTTGAAGTAACAAAAACTGTACTTATGCACCTCAGTGGCGTGGCGTGAACTGCGATGTATCGATTGTTACGCCATTTAAACCTATGTTAAAGAATCGATTATTAAGGTGTTCGCCGCGAGAATGATCGATTATCGATATTTCCGCGTTTGAAGCTGTAGTAAAGAATCGATTATTGAGGTGTTCGCTGCGAACACCCTTTTTATCGATCCTTTTCCATAGGTTTAAATGGCTTAACAATCGATGTATCGCAAAACACGCCACGCCACTGGCGCCTTGCCCTCCGAACCCCTCATTTTTCGCATTTGGATCGTATTTTTCATTTCTTTTCTGATAGTCGAGGAAATATGAAGCTTTCGATTTCGAAGCTTCGGTGAAGTTTTAGAAAGCGTGTTGTTATGAAATAGCTAACCATCAACTGTCAGAAAAGCATCTAAACGTGAACGAGCTTGACTTCCGACGATTTTTAGTCCAATTTCACACCGCGAGTGGGCGGTAATCTTTCTCGGCTCCCTATCCTTTTTGAAGAGCTACTTTTCAGCAGTGGCGACGCGTGATCGATTATCGATATTTTCCCCATTTGAAGCTGTGGTAAAGAATCGATTATTAGGGTGTTTGTTGCGAACACCCCAATAATCGATCCTTTTCCGTAGTTGTAAATGGCAGATCAATCGATACATCGCAAAGCACGCTCTTCGGTTGCATCAGACGGTCCAGTCGGCCGGGTCCGAAATTTCGAAAAAGACCCGGATTACCCTGCCGTCAAGTCAATCCTCTTCAGTAGATTCGTGGCTGAGGGCTTATGATGAGTTTCCTCCTCCCTTATCCGTAGCAGCGTTGCCAATCATTTCGATATATCATTTTTTATTCGATTAAAAATTTGATAAAAAAATGAAACGAACTTTCACTTGAAGTGGGCCGATTACGTTTGACGCCGATTAATTGTTTAATCTTGTACAGAGTTTTCCGAAGAGCCAGATTGTAGGAACGTTTCTGGTTGATCAAATTGAAATTTATCTACCATCACGTTTTTTGGTATCCTCAGCCCCCCCTCCCCCAATTTTTGATAAAATCGTTAATTTATTCTGGATTAGGGCTGTATCCGTGGATTTAAAAATTGTGAAAATTGACCATTTCTCATAAATTTAAGCGCTCAATTTTTTTTGTTGCCTCAACAATAACGGAAGCCAATTCACGGAATATTTCAGAAGATTTCAGGGTTTTCGGGTCAATCGAGGTAAAAAATCGGGGTCGTTTGTCATCCAAACGCATATTTTGCAAAAACCTAACCTAACCATGGTGGAAATCAAAAGTAAATGACACTGAGACGGAGCGTTTTTCGAAACTATATTCCGACCAATAGAAAACAACACGAGAATAGCAGTGCGTGCAGGTAAAATTCAACCCTCTCAGCAGGCCGATTATTGAAATCGATAGACAAGGCGATAGACATAGAAGACATAGAGAGTATGGAGCTATCCTATTGGTTGGAATGGGTGGTTCCTATAAACTAAGGGAGAAAATGATGGACTAACTATCAAGTCCCTCGTGGTTTGCCGTTAGTTAGTCTACCTCCTCTGTCCATTGCAACCACCCTCTTCCACCGATGAGATCCCTCCATTTCTCTTTTGTCTTCTTTGTCTATCGCCTTGTCCATCAATTTCAATAATCAGTCCACAACTCACGTCCCCGTTTTTTAGACCTCATCCCACCGTGATGAACCATGGTATGATGCACCATTTTGTGATAGATGCCGTCAACCACCGTGTGCTTCAAAGGAAATACCGCCTTTAATATTTTACCCGGAAACTCCGCGTTCAATTTTTGGTTATCACAGCGTTTGATCCCGCATACCGCTCAAAAATCTCTTTTCTCGCGCGAAAATCGGCAACGTCGACAGGCGTCTGGCGAGGACTCCATACATCCAAGAAGGGTTTCGAGGGTTCTTTACATAAATACCTTGATTTGCGTGTCGGGGTGGGAAGAATAAGATTTTTTCTCGAGGAAACCGGCGAAAGGATTGGATCGGGGGCGGGGGAGGGTACGAGGCGTCGCGGGCATAATTCGATTTGTTCGCCCGTCCGTCGCGGCCGGCGTCGTGTGAGCGTCAAAGGGCGTCCCGACGCTGCGCCGCCGACGCCGGGCTATTGTTGAGCCCGCGCGTGATTTGATAACTGTACATCCGTGTGTCCTCCCGTCCGTCAGAGCCGAAATCCGGACCCGCGGTGTTGCCACTTCGAACCCTCAGCCCCCGATGAGATTTTTCATTTGTGGGGGATTTGAGTACTTTTCCTTGAGTTTAATCTCGCCACTGGTTTTCTCTGAAACGGACTCCAAAGCTCGAAAAAAAACTCCCAAAGTTGAAAGGGTATCCCGCGCCATCCTAAGAGTAGCGTACCTATATAGGGAGAGTATGGACTTGTCGAAAATTTTGAGGTTAGGTGATGGAGCTTTTAGAGCCGAGGAGGGTAGACAATCTATGAATTCAAATTATCCAGGGTGATTTATAATCACAATGAAGATGTTGCATGTCGACGGTGTAAGTCGGCAATCACATAACTCGGTTTGCGACGTCGCAGACTTCCTGTCATACTTTATTTTTTAAATGGAAAACTACTCAACGGCAATTCTTTAAAACTGTCGTGATTTTTCTTCTTTGTGCGAAGAAAATTCTGCAAAAACTTCAAGGAATGATGTCAATTAGTTATCCTTTAAAAAAAATAGCATAGAGGCGGAGATTTCCAGACACCGCAAACGAGTTATGTGATTGCCGACTTACACCGTCGATGTGTGAGGAATTTGCGATTTGACTATTGTTTCTCACGTAAAAGTTGGCGCAAAACACGATAGTAGCACTGGTTTTCCCTGAAATCAAATTCCAAGCTCAAAAGAGCTCTCCAAGTTGAGGCAAAATCAGAGTTCTACGTGCATATAATTGCGGATACGAACGCACACAATGTAAATCCCTCTCCTCTCAAAGCGTCGATGGCACGAGTATAAAACGCCTTCAAATACGTGAGCCGCACCACACTGTACACAAGTCTCTCCTTTTGCGGGACGACTTTTTGAAGGCGTTTTTTGTTGCAGCAACTTTCGCATTTTCTTATCAGACACAATCGTCGTCGTGTTGACCACGTATTTTAACGTGTTTGGCATTTTCTTTCAATTTATATTATGCTTTTGGACCTCTTGTTTCTTTCAAACCCACATTAATCACTTTCTTTTTTTCCCGTGTGTTGCAGGTGATAGATAGCGAATATCATTCAAGCCCTGGTTTCCCCTCTGTCGCTATAATTCTAGTCTGCGCCGGTATCCTATTAGGAACTCTTTTAATCATATTAGCCTTAGGCTGGAAGTAAGTACTAATTCATGGTGTTTTTTTTGTTTGTTTTACAATTTTAACGATCTTCTTCTTTTGAGACTCCTTTGCATTAAAAGGTTACTTAATTTCAATGCTACGATTTGAACTTATTAATGGAACAAATATTTGAAACGTTTTCACAAAACTAAAAACTCCTCCTATTGAAAACATAACTCTGAGTTTCCCTTATCTTTATTTTACGTATTATCAATCAAAGGAGTACTTTTATACACATTGTTATGAATCATTCACTTTACGTTTTAAAAAGGAAACCCAAATAAGTTTGAACATATGCCCATCATTTTCTGTTATGTTTCTCAAGGATTTTTTTACTATACCAAATTCGCACAAATAGACTTCTATTGAAGCTATCTATGATGATAAATATTCCTTTTATACAGCCAATGAGTTCTTAAAACTCAAAAATTCAAGAATTCTCTGGATTTCAATGTTGATCACTGTAAACAGTGTCAACGTTTTGTGACACCCAGTAACACTTTGTGTTCTTTTGATTTTTTCCAGGCATAAAAAGAGAATGCAGAAGTTCTTACCGTGCAAATCGTCTCCCCAAAACAGGTGTGACGTCACTCACGGAGCTGGTGTTATCTACGAAGACTTAAGTAACATTAGAGCTAGAACTTTACCCCAGCCTCCTACATTAGAGGTAAGATTAACTGGCTCTTCATTTTTATTTATGCTTAAATCAGCGCTGCTCCTAAGATTTGCAGCGCACTAAAGAAAATACGAAAACAAAACAAAGAAAGAGCAACACAAAATACTGAAACGGCACTCACTAGAAAGAGTCCGCACAAGTGTTTCCTCCAGAAATATACGAGGTCTGTTAGGGTTCATTTTCTGAAATCTTGAAAGATTCATTCTTTGTGAACAGAACATTTGATATTTTAGTAGCGAAAGAGAGATTGCTCTATTATAATACCAAAACTATGAGAGGATTTTTGGCCTAAAAGTGAAACCATTGTCGTGAGACTTAAAATTAAGTTCGAGCTTGCAATATTTTACTCGTGATGCTTTCCTCGCCTCAACTTTTTTTATTATGTTGACTGACCTTGCAATTTATTGTTCTTATAAATTACCGTCGTGTTCCTTGTAGAGAAAATCCGACATGAAGATACGTTTTAAAATGCTTAGTCTCAATATCCTAATCAACGCCGATTCGAATCAGAGGCGGATCCAGCAATTTGGCAACACCGGATTTTCTCCATTCGAAGCTATGTTAAATAATCGATCCTTGTCGGAGCACTTGCCCCCTCTAAGAATCGATACATTTCCATAGGTTTAAATGGAGAAAAGCAACGTTGCCAATTTGCTGGATCCGCCAATGATTCGAATACGAACTAACGTTTACACTCTAGCTTGAATACAACTGTTTCTACTCCTTAGTTGAATAACTAAATACAAAAAGGGCACATGTCCAGAAAACCAAATTGTTCAGGAGACACAAAAAACTGTTTATTTCGTGTTAGATATTTTTTGGAAAGTCGTTATGTTTAAAAAAATATCTACCACGAAATAAACAGTTTTTTGTGTCTCCTGAACAATTTGGTTTTCTGGACATGTGCCCTTTTTGTATTTAGTCATTCAGTTGTCAATTTTGCATAAACGGAAAATGAAGGCGTTTTGGTTTTCCTTGAGTTCAAAAGTAGTCGAACAAACTGGAAGAAATAATGCCACGATTTCAATTAGTTTGACATCGATGATTCGAAATTCATTTGTGTTAATTTATTACTTTTTGCAATACTCATTATTCACTAAACTAATGTACTATTTCTTTTCTTTCCAGATGCTGGACGTGAAGAATCATTTAATGTACAGTGCGACAACAGGTTACCCTATTATCTCCCACCATTCTCCTTTATATCTGTACCATCCACCAAGGAGTAGCATGCCTGTCCCGGAGCCAGTGCCTGAGTCATTCTATTCGCAAGACCTCTTCAACCCCGTCTATGAGGAGCTTTCGAATGGTAATTATCAAAGTTCGTATCTTTTTATAGCTTTTTCTTGAAATTTTTTATGTAGGGAGATAGACGTAAGACATGTTGAAACTCAGCAGAGTTTGGTTGGGAAGGGCTGTAGTTTGCACAACTCAAGGTTTTTAAATACACATTTTAGTATCAAATGAAGGAATTAAAAATTCGCCAGGTTCTTCTGCATGGTCACTTCATTAGGACGGGGATTTCTTCTGAGGGTCTATTCACTGAAAATCATAGTGTTAGATCGTAAATATTCATGTACACTGGAAAAAAAACACGTTGGATGTAGAGTCCAGACTCTTGAAAACATTGACAAGAAAAAATACTCTTGATTCAATCGGATTTTTGCTTGAATCAAAACGAAATCCGCTTAAATTAAGAGGCTTGGTTCTTGATTTAAGCTAGAATCTGATTGAATCAAGAGTACTTTTCCTTGTCGATGTTTTTAAGAGTCTGGATTCTAGATCCAATGTGTTTTTTTCCAGTGTACCTATCCCACATGTTTAAAAAGGTAACTAAACCTTCCAGGCAGACAAGTATCTTCGGTCCCGAAAGAAAAAGTCCATCATTCAGGACCGATGTGTCGCTAAAGAGTTTCAGCATCAACAAAGGGGGAACAATTGAGAATGGTAGAATTTTCTGAAATAAAATTTCACCGGGAGGGTTTTCTCTTTTTTGAGTCAATTCAGCTTAATATTTAATCGCTTTGAAAGCCTGACATTATGGTATTCTGCTATGTGGTTTCGGGGTGCCGCCGCCGTCTTATTTTTTACTGCTGGGATAAAATTTAGGGGGCACCCGGGTTTGAACCGGGGACCTCTCGATCTGCAGTCGAATGCTCTACCACTGAGCTATACCCCCTTGTGATACGAGGCCGAAATATTTGGAAATATCAGCTGGTTGGATGCGATGTACTGTTATCGTACGAGCGCAGTTGTTTACATCCGTTGATGAGCAGTTGTTGACGTTTCGGTTCCGCAGTGTTTTGGTTCAATTACACGATCAAATTGAGCCATCAAATTGGACCTCTCATTGGTCGCATCCTCACCTCAGATCTTTTTCCACCAATCAGAGCTTCAGTTAGATAGCTCAATTTGATCGTGTAACTGAACCTTTGACATGGCTTATAGCGTACCTCTACCGATAGAGTATGGCCACTGAAGACTTCACTTATGATCATGGCTCAGCTTTCTTAGCTTTAGGATCCAATAAATGGCGGACGTTACATGCAGATCATTCCCAAGTGCAGATAATGAGGTTTCATTCGCATATATGTATCAACTAAAAATTTAAGTTTCACCCAAAAAATAAAAAAAAATTTCGTAAGACTGTATGCTGATATCTCTTTGAGGGAAAATTGTGCTCATATGAGCTTTTTCCCCCTGTATTGAGATTTTCAGCTCTATGCTGAATTTTTAACGCACGTTGGCTAATAAAAGCCCAAAGTATATTCTAAGGTTGCCTTTGTACTAAATTCCGTATCGTTTTTCTCATTTCAGGATCCGGTCACGGCGACAGCTGCACGGACAGCGAGGAGGCGCCTCAAGCGACCCACAGCGAAGACGAATTCGCCGAGGACGAGCTGAGTTTGGGCGAGCAGCTCCCTGTGTCAAACACACTTCGACGAAACCAGAGGCACGACTCCTCGCGGACCGGCTCGCTGCGGGAGTCCTGCAGGAACAGCCCTTGTTGCAATATCCACTCTACGGACGTCACCTTACCAGACAAAAACTACTACATCGACCACAGCCACCACGGGCACCGGCATAGGAACCACTACCACAACCCGAACATGTCGCTGCCGCTCGGTAGCCGGCACAAACGGAGGAGCAAACCCGTGGAGACCGTCAGTCGGAGTAATAAAAATATAGCAGACAATATTATAGGGAACGGCAGGTACGACGTAGAGAATAATAAGGATGTAGATTATGATAAGAAAATGATCACGGTCGTCATCAAAGTATAGTATTCGTTCCGGCTTGTGATCTCTAGTGGCCTGCATTGTGATTCTTTTTAGTACTATTCTGCTGTGTTGAGGGAAAAGGCCGTATGAACATTCGAGAGTTGCCAAATTTCCTTTGATAAAATGTTCGTTTCTGACGAAACTTGAGAATGTTTTCCCTTGAAGTTTTCAGGATTTTTCGGTGAAATTGCTCAAAATTATCCGAAAAATTGCCGTAAAAATATTCATATGTGGCCTTATATGTCACATTGGCGGATGTGAAAAAGTACCTTTTCGAAACACGCTTAAAAAACTGTCTTGTTCACACAAAAATGTAATATGTTTGGCTCCGGCATAATGTACAGATCTCGAAGATCACATCTCAAGTATTTTCTCAAAATTTTCTCGATAATGTGTTTCGAAAAGGTAATTTTTCACATCCAGCATTGTTACATACAAGTCCTCATATGTTTAACAGGAAATTTGTGTATTATCAAAGGGAAGTTGGCAACGCGTAAAGGTTCATACGGCGTTTTTCCTTAGCACGGCAGTATTGTTTGTAACTGCAATTTTTACAGTTTTCGGGTTCTGTTCGCTGATATGTGCTTGCGCTTCGTTTGTTAAAAAAATAAAACCTGTTCAAGTCATGTAACTCCGGATTCAGCGAAGTGGCAACATTGTTTCTCTCTATTTAAACCTATGGAGATGTATCGATTCTTGGAGGGGCCAGGTGCTCTGACAAGATTCGATTATTTAGCGTATAGGTTTAAATGAAGACAATCCGGAAAGTTAAATCGCTGGAATTTTCCTTTTTCTCTGCTAAATAATATTTGATGTCTTGTCTCTTTTTTGCGTTTATGTGAGGAAGATACTAAGTCTGGACGAATCCAAGTTAACATGTAGAACCCAGATGTAAACTTTTCTGAAGTATCATGAGAGTTTTTTCTTCTATGTGTCAGAAAATTGTTACCATAATTTGCCTACCCTTTGCTTGGTAGACAATTAGCTACAAATCGAAAAAAAAGTAATACTTTTTTCATCCCTGATTTCTTCGCTTGGTTCAATACGTCAACAAAATTCCTCTATTGTATGCCTTGTGAGAAAATTGTGCTGATGAAAGACGCTTTTGTGGTGTTCTATATGAACTGTACTATATTCAATGATAGTTTTAACCATTAATAGTTGTATTATTACATTAAGCGGTACATTTACCTTCTAATGGTAATAGTACCACTTTTGTTGGTTATAGACATCATTATTTGATAATTCATGGACCTAACAGTTCATAATCACGGTTTTTCTCGTCAGTATGTAAATTGTTGAACTGATCAGGTACTTGTTAAGAGAAAAAATGTTGCAGTGCAAATCAATATTTATTGTATTTATATCGTTGTAAAGTTTTAAATTCTTGTATATTCCTGTACATTTCCCTGTAAAGAAGTAGTCTCCAAAATTAACCTCATGTAGTTTTGTAGATAGACTTTCCAATTAGATACATTCACCATGATCAAAAATTATCTGTCCTAAAAACCATTCGGTGCGTTTGAAGATTAGAATTTATTTACCCAACAGATTTCGTAACAGGTCTAGGGGATCCCTTCGTGGCTACGTTGTTTTCAAAATCCGAGAAGACGTACGTGTTACCGCCCGAAGATCTTCTTGGACTTTCAATGCCTCATTTCCTCCTAGAATACGGAATATCAAATAAAATCCTTTTAAAAAATGTGCAAACATCATAAAGCAGCCTGTAATTCCATGCAGATACTCAGCTTAGAATAAATATTTTCCTCCTAAATTGTGAGAAGATTTGCTTTAAACATTGCTCAATATGCTTATTTAGTCTTTTACAGGCAGGAAAGTTGAGCTCGTAACTTAAAATGCGCATGAAGCAAGCCAATGAGGTGATTAGCGAAAGTTTTATTAGTTTCATGTAAATTCTACAATTCCATTTGCAATAGACTCATTACAATGTTTCGCATTGATTTGCAATTATTTAGCCATTCTTTAACCATTTATTATAGCGTCACGACGTGCCACGTCAAAGCGTAAGTAAATTTTAGGGTGGAAGCCCACAATCATTTCAAATTATAGAACCCTGTTTCTTTTTTCTTACTATCAATACCCTTTTAAACGGATCTTCAGTAGACGCAGTTTTACAAAACCGGTATACTAATTTTATCTTTTTAAATTTAATTATATTGTGCCATTTGTTTCAACAAATCATGTTTCAATCTATATAAGTTTTTAATAGTGTTAAAATTCTCAGCTCCTTGTATCTCCGAGCCAATTTCATACCCAGAACCTCTTGCCTTGAGTAACAGGCACCAATTGCCTCTTTGCCGAATTTACTCTGGTCAGCTTAAATAATATTTATATTCTTCATGTAAATAAAAACAAATGGCTTTATGAAGAATTGTAATTAACCGGTTTTCATTAAACAGATAATCTATTTGATTGTGAATGATCTCTGTACATTTATTTATAGTTGTAGGTTCTTTCAAAGATATCGTGCTAGTCCAAACAATGTTAATTTGTATTTTTTCTTGTTAGGTAAGTTCACTTCTACTTTCACTCTTTTTGTAATTTTTATAAAAAAAAAATACGAAAATTGAATTGAAATGGTAAATTTCTCCTCAGAACACGCAAAATTCTATTTACTTACCTACCTTGTTAAGTGTGTAGTTATTATTTTCAATTTGTAAACGTCTTTGTTTATTTTTTTAAGCACAATGGTTTTGTTTTTATTTATTACTATTGAACTTTTCAATTGTTATTTTTCAACTAATTTTTATGAGAAATAAAATTTTAGCCTGTCTTTGCGCCTTAACTTTTTGTCACTCTTGTCATGTCCTTCAATTTAGAGGAAAAAACGGGGAAAACAGAAAAAAGAAAAAGTTGAAAGAGTTTCGAAGAAGATGATAAAAAACGGTCGTTAAGGCCCAATATTTTAGCAAAAATAACTAACATTTCACATCACACTCGACACAATTCAGCTTATTTTAATAGTTGCCAAACAAATCATCGCTTAGTTAATTCACAATTTTTTATGTCAATCGTTTCATACATTTTTGGTTCTGCAGTACGTCACATACTAACTATTAATTTGTTCAAATAGTTGAGAAAAAATTGTCTTTGTTTTACAATAATAATGTGTTGAGCTAAAACTCAAGAGGGCCTTTTTAAGCGTAAATTTAAAACTAAAACCGAATCAGTATTGATAGAAAGTTTGAAAAAAAAAAACAGTGAAAGTGTGTGTAAATAATGAATCTATCAAAAAAAAAAAAAAAAAAAAAAAAAAAAAACCACTCCGTTCACTCTAAATTTGTGTTAGTCATATCAGTTTTGTTGACCAACAAAAGTTTATAGTAAGAGTAATGAGTTGTTTTTAAAAAATTGATTTATAATTTGAATTAGTATTGTTTTTTGGAATAATTACCGAGATAAATGAAACTTACAGCTACCTACTTTTTCAAATATAGCTCAATGGCTGCCCTGTGAGGAAGGGCGCCCAATACCTGTGCATCGAATGATGGTCCTTAAAATATGATTGATTTAAATGCGGAAAAAGCCAGCCTTTTAACTGCTTGTGAAAAAAAGACACTCTTAAACCCACGAGTAAAGACAATACAACGGTGAAACTTCCAAACTCCGTTTCACGTCATTGGACGTTGCAGACTTCCCATCTTTTTTTATGATCACTACACTTAGGAAGTGTAAAACTACTCAACGTCAATTCTTTGAAATTTGCATGATTTTTCTTCTCAGTGCGAAGAAAATTCTGTGTAAACTTCAAGGAATGATATATATTGATTTGTCCTTCCTTGAAAAAAAAATCAAAATGGAAGCGGAAATTATAAAACACGTGAAACGACGTACTTGGTTTGAGTCTCACCGTCGAATAACCATTTAATAAATTGCACTTAATCGCTATTTTTCTGAGTTCCAATAACGCATTATATATTGATCTCTTAATTATAATCATCGCATCAAATATTCTCTTTCGAGAACGCGATGATAACACGGTAAAAAAGTTTTTTCTTGCACTGGAAAAAAAACCACATTGCATCTAGAGTCCAGACTTTTAAATACATTGACGAGAAAACATACTTTGATTCAATCAGATTTAAGCTTAAATCAAGAACCAAGCCTCTTAATTTGAGCGGATTTCCTTTTGATTTAAGCTTAAATCTGATTGAATCAAAGTATGTTTTCTCGTCAATGTATTTAAGAGTCTGGACTCTAGATGCAATGTGGTTTTTTTTCCAGTGCAAGAAAAAACTTTTTTACCGTGTTATCATCGCGTTCTCGAAAGAGAATATTTGATGCGATGATTATAATTAAGAGATCAAAATATAATGCGTTATTGGAACTCAGAAAAATAGCGATTAAGTGCAATTTATTAAATGGTTATTCGACGGTGAGACTCAAACCAAGTACGTCGTTTCACGTGTTTTATAATTTCCGCTTCCATTTTGATTTTTTTTTCAAGGAAGGACAAATCAATATATATCATTCCTTGAAGTTTACACAGAATTTTCTTCGCACTGAGAAGAAAAATCATGCAAATTTCAAAGAATTGACGTTGAGTAGTTTTACACTTCCTAAGCTATTTAAGCTTAAATCAAAAGGAAATCCGCTCAAATTAAGAGGCTTGGTTCTTGATTTAAGCTTAAATTTGATTGAATCAAGAGTACTTTTTCTTGTCGATGTTTTTAAGAGTCTGGACTCTAGATCAAATGTGTTTTTTTTCCAGTGTGACATATTATTTTGACTTAAAGCGTTGTTTCTTATCGACAAAATTTGGTTGTTTTCAGTCAAAGGAACATCGTTTTGCGATCGTTTTTTTTTTTTTTTACTTAAACTTAACGATACCGATACGACGCTTTTTTAACTCTAAAATACTGATGTTGAGGTGAATCCGCATGGATTTAACTTTTTAAAAAAAAAAAGAAAAAAAAACCAAATGTTGACAAAAAAAACGTGTAAAGTCAAAACAGTATCTCAAGAAAATTATTTTTCAGTGAAGGATTAAGTAGTTTTATGAGAGCAATTGAAAAAAATAACTATAGCGAGGGTGATTATTCTTTTTTGACAATCTTAAAAATTGAATCACAAAAGGAACCCGAAACCAATATTTGGAAAAACCGCCTCCGGCACGTTTCC